AATGTTAATGGGAATCTTTTTTAAAGAGTATCCATGATACTTATTCCTACAATAAGTTACACAAATTTATTTAAACTATTTTAAAGTTACGATTTATAAATAAAAACATTAATAGCCAGAAGAAACAACACTGATGTATTGGATGTTGGTAAACAAATGATATTATGTCTTAAAAACAGCATCCTGTGATATATAAATCTTTAATGGTTCCACCTTAGACTTCTTAAAATTGATTAATGGTTCATTATTTATTACTAACAATTTATGACTTGCTTTTGAAAAACAAATAAATCTAAGAGCAGCTTAAACAAGGAGTCTTAATTTTAAAAGATATCTTTAAAACTCAATGCTGATTTTCTCCCTGTTTACGAAGGCAAAGAAGAAGGGGAAAATGGCAGCCGGGTTCGATAATGAAGTTAAAAATTCCATACATACAAATACAAACAGACAGGAGAGGGAGCGAGAGGGACAGAAAAAGAAAGAGAAGGGATGGGACGAGGATGCAGTTGTTGTTGCTGCTGCTTCTGTGGCATTTGCCTTTGGTATTTATGAGTACGTTGTCCTTGATATGCCTGCGGAATTACTAAATGTCCCTGACTTGACACTAACTCACACGCACAGTCAGTCAACACACACTCACAAGCACTCCAATACAGTCACACAAACTCACACGCCAGCACACACACACTTGCGCATCATCAGCCATTCACTCATTCATTCACTGCGAGAAGAGCTGTTGCTTAACTCTGTCGGCAATATGTTTGTTGCCACGCCCCAAATCCCTCGCCAACGCCCCCCGCCCACACACGCACACCTTCCTTTTTTCGTACTTACTTATACATATATTTTTATCTTCTACGTGCAGCAATGGACCCAAGGCGAAATTTAAATAGAAATAGCATGTTGATGTTATTTGGAGTAGGTTCATATTTAATTTAATATGCGAGTCTCCTCCTTTGCATCGCCATGTGGCCGTGTATAAATATTTTAATTTACTTTTTTGAACGCAAAGGCGACATCAAACTATCATCATACATATGTATGTGAATATATGTAGTAGCCAGCTGTATAAAATTGTAGTTGGTATAAAGCTATTTTAAAAACATATCTTATTTTATGGTGATATGCAGTGCTTTTAGTTTTTAATTAAAAATACGTGAATCGTAAAAACTGAGTGCTAAAAACTTAACCAATTATATTTTCTTTGCACTTTTTGGTGCTATGAATAATATTTTTAAGACTTTCATTAATACTTTTAAACCTTTTTTATAGAGACTTGGTCTTTAACATCTTAGTATGTTAAAAAAAATTTAACAAAGAATTTTAATAAGCATTGAATAAATTCGCCTAAATAAAGCTCACCTGAAAGGATTGCTACTGACGATCTTTTTCTCGCTTTCGGTAAAGAAAAAGATTTTGTAACGCATAAAAAATAGTTGTAGTTTTTTTTTTCTGCGCGAAAAAGTAACTACAATTTGGTTTTACAGAGTGGCATAAACCCTTAAGCTACTGTAGACAATCGGAGTCGAACGCAGTTTGGCTTGGCACTCAGTGTAAGTTTTTACAGGAGAGGAGCAGGAACAGATAAAGTCCCGCAGGATGCGTTTGGGGGATGGCAAGCGTTGCATTGGGGATAATGGTGCAGCGGAGCCAGCTTGTTTGCCCTTGTCACACACATCGATTGCGTGAGCAAGCATCAGGAGCGCGAAAATTCCGCAATTCCAGCTAGATAAATAAAAACGTGCCTTGGGTCGTTCCATATATTTATATATAGAGTATATATATACATATATGGGCAAGAATCGTTACGGATAAGACCACGCCCACGAAGCAAACGCGGAGGTCGAGTGGCAACAAGTGCAAGTGGGCTGATCGGCCAAAGACAGATAACAAGTCAAGTGCTTTGTGCCACCGTGCAGGTGCCAACACTCTGACTAAAGTATTTGTCGGCAGAAAAAAATATATTTCTCAAATTTTGTATAAATGAAAAATTTATTTAAATTGCGGTTTTCCAACATTTCCAAATCTTCCTCCTCCTGTTAAAATTTAAAATGCATTTCTTTTTATGAATTGTTGTATTCTTATTAAAACAAACAATTAATTTGCATACCTGTCAAGATTTAGCTTTTGAAACCCCCAAATTTTTTTATTCAAATGTGTGGGTAAGCTCAAAACAAACATTGAGCTTCAGAAATAAGCCTCAAATTGTATAAAACAATCTGTATTTCATGTTTGAAAACTTTTTATAAGTTTCTGCATTCCTGACTTTCCTTTCAAGCTCTGAATTAAAAGTATAGGATATAAAATCCTTGATTTTTTCCTCTGATTTTCAGCTGGAGTGTGGGTTTTTTGCTGGTATCGGTGGTATGGCACCTGAAAAAAGTCGTCTACAGATTGTGCATGAAATCAAGCAGAATGAGAAACCAATTTGTGTGGAAAACACAAAGGCAACAACCACACCGGCGAAATTAAATTGGCCAAAGGGTTTAAGTTTTTCCACAGTTTCCACAGCTCAACATCGTTTCGCCGCGCATTTCGAAGGTGAAGTCAGTGGAAAACATAGCTAAAAGCAAACTTTTTATAAGTCGCTAGAAAGTCGATGGCAATAAATTTCATCGGTAACTTTCTTCTTTCGCTTTCGTTTCGATGGAGGAGGAATTTTAATTTAATCCCGAAGGGGGAAAGGGTCGAAAACATAACTAAGACTTAACCACAAAGGAGCACCTTAAAATTGTTTAAACGGAAAAATAGTTAAAGCTCAACTGCATAAGTTCAGTTGGCCGGGCCAGCTGGCATTATGTGATCCGCTCTCCCTGTCTCTCGGGAAAGCACATAAATGAAGCCCCAAAGCCAGTGGGGAAATCCAGTATGCAGGGGTGTTCGGTTGTTTGGATCTCATGCCACACTGTTCGTGTATGTGTGTGTGTTCGTTTGTGTGTTGGCCATGGCCACTAAACGTGGCTGACTGCGGCTGAGTGTGCGACGCAGTGGAAATGCACTCGAATAAACACAAAATTTATATGAACACATGCAAGACAGATTAGGGAGCCAAACGAAGGGGGGTTTTGCGGAAAAGAAACGGTAGTCCATGGATGGGTGGACCATACACCCATTCAACCACCCAACCACCCCCTCCTTCACCGCTTTGTGTACTTTTTGTGGGAGCAAACAAAAGCAATTTTTGCGTTTTACAAATTCCTTTGGTTCATGGCTTTAGCCTGCTTTATGGCACACTTCCATTTATGCAATACGAAAACGGGCATCCGAACAGGCAACAACCATACAACCAAACAAACAAACGGGCAGCAGCAACAATTCTGTTTTCCATCTAAGCAAAACATTTAGAATAGCATACTTTTGCGAGCTTTGTCAAAGTTCCTCCTGCTTCCGTTTTCCCATCAGAGAAAACGGAAACTTTTTTGATTGACCAAAACCAAAAGTACGGCGTCTGTTTTTTTTTGGGTTTTATGGAATTGCAACTTTACAGGATGCCCCCCAAAACGACAACAAGTGCTGCAAACTCAATTGAAAGCACACCCCCGAGTTTCCATCTCATCATCATCAGCCAAAAAGGGCAGATAGCCGCCGCCGCCTCCCGATTTCTGGTCGCATAAAACCGAATTGAGTCGTTAAATGTACAAAAATGTGATAAATAATCAAATTACATGCATTTGATGTCGGCGCAGATTTTGGGCTTTAACATTTTACGACACCGAAAATTCTCGTCGATTTTCATTTTTTCCGGCTCATGCATCATTTATGGCGCAATCGCTGATTATTCGGCTCTGGGAGCTAATGCCTAGTGGATTTGCCATTTTTCAATTATAGCGCCAAAGTGGCCTTTGTCTGCCGTGTGCGTGCTTTCCCCGGTTCGTTCGCTCGTTTTAAATTTCCAATTAGATCCGAACGCAAACTAATTTCATGCAAATTGCTGGCGAAAAAAAGTGGCTCTTCTTTGCACGTTGCGAATTTCCTTCTGCCGAAATTATGCGCCGAGTAGTTGGTTTCTGCCGGCAAAAACGTACCTCAACGCTCGGTCTTTTTTGCGTTCTTTTTGGCGAAAATTGCCGGGATCGAGAGCGAAGTTTTAGCACATGACTCGGGTGAATTTCTTTCGGAATTTCCCCATTTCGTGTGATTTTTTTTCTTTGCCAATACCCTGAGTGCTGTCATTTAAACAGATTAATGTGTTGCCATCAGTGGCACGTCATGTTGCGTCTCGTCTCGTTTCGTCGATGCTATTATGCATTTGATTGGCATTTGTTTGTGCACAGCAATCAAGTTGCTTACCACCAGCCATTCCCTTACTCCTGTCCAAAAACAAAGGCCTGTCAAAACCGACGTATGCCGGCAGAGCAATTAATGCTGTTGCAGATGCCCCGGTTTAGTCAACAGGTAAGAGGTAACAGCCGGGATGCAAATGTATATCGTTCTAATTAGCCGTAAGTCGATAGCCGCAAAAAAGGGCCGGTGTCGACGGCTCTTTGATGTGCGTGACAATGGCCAGCTGGCGGTGGGTGGCCTCCCTGTTACCCACTTTTCCATTTTCCTGACAAAGTCCAGCCGCATCACAGAGGTGGCAGGAGTACGTCAGCATCACGATGGGCATTAAAAGCCCGCGGAATGGGTGGCAGTCACAATCTTGGCGACACTGTCAGTGCCATGTCAAGGGGCCATTTGATATGCCACTGACAGTTAGCACATTTGGCGCATTTTTTCCCCAGGCCCGCTTCGTTTTTTTTTTTATTTTCTTTTTTGGCTTTTTATACGGCCCTGACAGTGAGCAAAGTGCCGATCCAACGCTGACAGCTTACAACATTTGAGTGTCTATTTTAAGGCGGCATTTAGTCAAAATCCGTTTGATCAAAGGTAGAAACACTTAAACACTTGAGCTGATTGGGCGCTGCCCGACGAGGTAATATGGTTAAACAAAGGGAAATAAATGTGGATACACCAAATGCATAAGACACTTGAATAAAATAATCATAAAAGTTGAAAGATTACAATTTGAACAACAGTTAGTTTTTTTGTGTTGAAATTTTATTTTCCGTGTTTTAATTCTTTGATTTATAATAAAAGCATACTTTAAAATGATTTATGAAATAAAAAATGATTTACATAAAATAGGTAAGAAATAAAAGGTTTTTGTGGATAAAATAAGTTAAGCAAAACAATAAATAAAAAACAATCACAATAAATTCGCATTTGAAAACACCGATGCTAATTTCCAAAAATTTACTACATTTAAAAACAAATAAACACCTAAAATTTACAAGTAAAGTTAAATTAAATAAAAAAATAATTATTTTAGTAAAAGTTTAGAAAGATTAGTGCTCTTTGATTAATGACGAAATGACTTTTTTTGTTTAGTGTGCGGTGTGATTTCTAATTGCTCTTACTCTAAGCATACGCGTACAAACTTATCGACTAGGTACGGAGGAATATACTCGTATATCCCATATATCCGCTAATGCCAATCAGTCGCCGCAGCGCGAATCGCAGCTCTCCTGCGAGCAGAATCGATTGCGATTGCCATTGCAGCCTTTGTAGTTGAAGGGCTTGCAGACCCCCTTGTCGAAATACCAGCGAGTTACGGCCTTGGTCTTGTCCTTGCTGCTGCAGAAGTTGCCCTCGTTTCGGCCCACATAGCAGTTGACATTGTCTGAAAAAGACGCAGAAGCGCAGATTCATTGGTTAATCGCCGCCTGGAAATGCTCCACGTCCGCGATTCGGTTGGTCGGCACGACTGGCCTCATTAAGAGCAATTACGTTTGTTTGTTTATACGGGCCTCGGAGCAGACGACAGAATATTTCATAATTCCCCGGCCACGTTGTAGTCATAAGCGGGAAAATAGAACAATTTCGCAGACAAAATTGACTTTGGCCGGCCAGAATACAACAAAAAAGAAAGCAGCGTGTGGACAAAACTTGGCAAGTACCGACATTTTATTCTTCAGGCGTAATTGCTATTTACCTTTGCAATAAATAATAACCAAACTACTTTGTAATTTTGTAACTTTTAACTGTTACATTAAGAAAAAATGTAATTTACTAGATCATTTTAAGGAACTAAATTATAGAATATATTTTAATTATGGTTTGCAATTCAATTTAATACAAGAATTAGAAAACTTAGCACTCTTTATACCTCCAATATTATATATTAATTTCTTATTGTTGAATGTTTAACCTTTTAACGTTGTTTACTGGTCAAAGAATTGTAATCATGAAAGACATTAATATTTATTTTCCATGTTTTATTTGTTCAACAGTTTTCAAGCGATTAAATCATTTTATGAATAAATCACTGGTATAGTTTATTAAATTGTGAAAAATAATAAATTGTAAATCCAACCTTTCTCTAACAATTGTTCTGCAAATTGATTTTAGCTTCGGCAGAAGCTATTGATGTGTATCAACTTTACGTCTGTCAACTCAGTTTTAAACAAAAAAGAAAAATGTTAAAGCAGCAAAAAATCTGGAATATCATGTTTGCCACTGATCAATTAAAATGAAACCTGTCACTACCAAACAAAAACTGCCGCATAAATTCGGGAATTTGCAAAACTGTGGAGTTCGCACCACCTAACATAGCATTTGAAAATATAATCTGCCAATCCATCAAATCCATTTATTTTATCTAAAATAAAAAACGTATCGCAGCATTCTTAGACACTTACTCAGCTCTTTGCATGACACCACGGCCCCGTTGCCAGAACTGCCGCCTCCAAAGGCCTCGGCTTCCGCGGTCTGTGTCAATAGGATGATGGACAGGATGCCGACGAGTGTCGCACAGAGGAACGTCAGATTGATTTTCAATTTCATGTTTTTCGCGCGGCCAACAGAATCGGAATGAGGAAAATGAAGCACCACCGGCGGCAGATGGTCGTTGTACTCGCACCAGATGCGAACGCAGAATGCCGGATCCCAGAGTCGGAGAACCCAAGAACTGAGCAACTGAAAAACTGCCGCCAGCTGAGGCTGTTCCAATTTGTTCGGTTTTTGGTATTTTTAAGTAATCTGCGCTACTTTCGGTAAGGAAAACGTGCCGCCAACTCACGAACACGGTCCGAAAAGATCCGATACGAACTCACCGGCGGTGGCGCATTTTCGTTTTTGAATTGTTTTTGTATTATATTCGAAATGCCGGAAATTGTTGCTAACTCGAACGCGAACTGTTCGCCCTGTCGTTCCCATTCGTCTGATAGTTTCTCAGGCAGCTCCGAAAATTCGGAAAATCTTTCAAGCATTGCCAGCCTGACAATCGTCTGGTATGCCCAATACGCATATCCATTCATCCAACCATTCATCCGTCCATCCATCCATCCATCCAGTTGTCCATCCGTCCGTTCCGCCAATCGTCCAACGGACCGTGTCCATCAATGCTAAGTAGGAGAAGATATTTTTGGTCAACAAAATGTTTGACGCTCCCGAAACGAACGGACGACGAACGAGGCGAAATTGCACTTAGTTTTATCTTTGGGGCGTTTACTTTGCGCTCGTTTGCATAATTTCCAACTTATTGAATATTTTCCACATAATTAATTTTAATTATTTGTGTTTCTTTCAGGCATTTGAATTAATTTAGATAAGAGGGCCGCGAGGTCGAGGGTTTCGCGGAGTAAAAGGCGAAAAGGGTCGCACATTGCAGTCACAAGGGATGGCTCTTCCATTGTCTCTAATTACAATGGGCAGCATTTGTTTTGGGGTTTTTTTCTTTCTGCTCCCCTTTTTTATTCTCTTCGGTTTATTTCATTTTTGGTTTCTTGGCAAGTGGCTTTGGCATCGCTTCTCGCCTTTTCACCGCTTTTCCCTTTTGATTTTTGGTTGCCTCTATTGCGGCGGGTCGAGCGCAAAAATCAATCTTCATTTAAAATTCAATTTAATGCGCTGCGTGCATAAAAGAAGTTCCCCAGCGCCTTGGTCATCAAGCGTATTGGATTCGCCGGGACGAAATTAGAAAACAATTGTGTTTATTTTGGACAATCTGACGCATCAAAGAGAAATTGCGAAATGGTGTCGCATGTCGTTGAAAGCCTCGCAAAAAGGGAATTTCGGGAATATTCTTTGCCAGTTTGGTGGAAAAAAGCCAAAGAATATTTCAATTAACCGTGAATCATTAAAAATAATTTAAGTCCGGGAATAGTACATAGTGTTGTCGATATATAAAGAATGAATTTTTAATTAAAATATAAAAACTTTCAAAACAAGTCTAATCAGGTAACCTAGTTTTGCATAAATCTTAAAAACTAGATAAAAAGAACTAAATGCGATATTTTAAATAGTTATTTGCAGACAGCATATAAACAGATATAAAAACAAATATGTATTAAAAGGCAAATAAATTTAGTTCACTCTATTCCTTATTTGTAATACTTTAAAGTAACCTGTTTTTTTTGAAAACCAGTGATGAGGAAATCATGAAAATTACAGCAAACGGAAGACTGAAACTCCGAAAGGGATGTGCTTCAAACACAAATCGGAAGTCTTAACTAAAAACGGTAGCAGGTATGCGAGGTCAGTCGAGTGGAAGAGCGGATGAAGACCCGCAGTCGCAGCGCACTCCAGCTTGGGCATCAGTGCGTATACGTGATGTATCAGCGTGAGTAAATCAATACTCAAATGTGGCCCTCTAATCAAACGGGATCGAGATCGGGATGTCAGCCGAAAAAAGCTAAACAGAAAAAATTAAAAAACAATGCGAACATAAAGAGTGGTTCAATCGAGTTTATGCTCTTGGCCACGTTTTAGGTTTTTTTTTGTCGGCCACAATTTGTGATTTTCCACTTGTTTTTACCAATTTAGCGATTTTGTGATTTGTCGTCTTTAATTTCCACACAATTTTTGGAAGCACTCAAGCAAGAGATATTTAATGGCTGCACTTGAACGTGCCGAAGGACAAAACCAACTAGCACAAAAAAAACTAATAAAAGGGTCTGGGGGAGAAATCATTTTGCAGTTTGAAATTGAGTGAAATGCGCTGACGTTTTTCGTATATTGAGAATATTCTTTGCATAGATTTACCTTTATTTGATGCATCTGCCTTCCGTTTATCCCGTTCCTGCAAAGTCGTTCAGTTCTATAGTCACTCGTTTTGCGCTACTTTGGAATTATTTTTTTCCCCAATCCGCTTTCATTCTTTTTGCGCCGAAGAAAAAAGATTTTCCCCTCGCTTTGGCCAACCTCAAATTGAGGAAATGAAACATTTCAATGATTTGCTTCCGGCTTTTCCTTTGCGCCATCCTTCGTGCAGCGAATCATAAACAAAAAGAAGAAAAGAAAGAGTTTTGTTTATTACTTTTAAGGCGCTTTGGACAACTTCTTGACCGCCATGCAAAAAGTTGAGCCTTAATAAATTATTCAAATTGCAATCTTTGATCTGTGCTCGGGGACTGCACAAGAAATGCACAAAAGTGCTGTGCGCAAAGTTACTCTGCGATGCCGACAGTTTTGCAATTTTCATGTTTTAAAACTTGCAGAGTACACGTTCGGAAATGTCAATATTTCAGTCCAAGAATTTACGTTTAATAAAATGGGGAAAAAGCAACTGGTTATTAAAAATAACCATGCCTTTGAGTTCTTTTGTATGCATGAAAAATTAAAAAATAAAATTGAAACTTAAACGAATCTATAACACGCCAATAGTCATAGTAATTAACCTTTAATCTTTTTCCAATTAAAGATTATAAAGAAGAATATTAAAACCTTTCTTTTGGTTCTAAGTTGTTCAAGTAGATATTTTGCTGAACAGTGTTATTGATTTTGGTGACACGAGTAGCAATTTCTTGCAGTGACACTGAACATTTTCTGAGGCATTTCCCAAACAATGGGGCAAGGACTATGACTATGTTCATCGTTTTTACTGGCTGCGTTCTGTTTTTTTAGTTAAAATTTCGCAATTTGCAATAAAAATTCCAGTTTTGCTTTTCGGAATTCAGTTGGAGCGTACGCCCCAGCTAAGCTGAATCTGAAGCTTCGGCTTGGGAAAGCGGGCTTGTGGCCTTGCGGCTTTTCCGGCAAAGGAAAGCGATGCGAAAGGATACGCATCCTTCCAACGGGCTGGCGGAGCTATCAACCGGCAATTATTATGCGTCCTGAACTGCACGTGCCTCATATAATCTGTGAGGGTAAGCCAATGTGTGTGTGGGTGTGAGTGTGTCTGGGGTGTGAGTGTGTTGTTGTGCTGGCTGCTGGGGCGTGCCGACAATAATTTAATATCAAAACATATTTCACTTGCATGCCGAAGAAGCTGAGGAATGCGCTCTAAAGCTTTACGGAGTCGAGCCAGTCGAGCAAGTCGAATGGAGGCGATGAAGCGTTCATCTTGTCCTTTTCCCCAATACAACCCAATCCCACCCCACTCCTTCTTCCCGTCGCCCTCTTTCCACTATCCCCCTTTCTCCCCTGCTTCTGTGTCGCCTCCTGTGTGTTTCGTAATTATTTTAAAGCCACCGAGGAGCCTTGACATTTCCCAAAAATAATTCTGCCTCAGCCACAAAAATGCGTCGCCTGATGTGAAGTTATGGCACGACCTGCTGCAGCCGCCGGTATTGCGTACACTTAAGAAAACTAAGGAGTTTGACAAAACAAAATAATTCTGTAGGTTTGATACACAGTAGAATTGTGAATATAAAATAATTAGGGTACATAAAAAAATAAGACTTTTTGCAGGGAAAACCATTCGGTCTCGATAATAAATTTAATTATACGAGTAAAATTTGAAGTTTCTAATTTCAATTAAAATGTTCAGATATTATATACTATAATACCATACAATTAAAAAAGAAATAAAACCATAACATCTATTAACTATGGAATATGAGTGTTTATAATTTTCAGTACCTTTTTATACCCTTGCAGAGCAAAGGGTATTATAATTTCAGTCAGAAGTTTGCAACGCAGTGAAGGAGACACCTCAGACCCCATAAAGTATATATATTCTTGATCAGCATCACCATCTGAATCGAAATATGTATGTACGTCTGTCCGTCTGTCTGTCTGTCTGTCTGTCTGTCTGTCTGTCTGTCTGTCCTCCTGTCGGTTTCTATGTAAACTAGTCTCTCAGTTTTAAAGCTATCTCGCTGAAACTTTCCCAAAAGTTGTGTAGTTGTTGCACGCAGTATATATGTCGGAACGAGCCGGATCGGGCGACTATATCGGATAGCTCCCATACAAGAGAATGAAATAAAAAAATTTTACATCGTTGTTTTTGATCAGATCGACTTGATTCCTTCCAGATGGCGTTTTCTAACTGCTATTGAATTTCGGATTAAATTTTATCAAAATCGGATAACTCTATCATATAGCTGCCATAGGAGAGATCAAAAGATATATATATAAATAATGGAAAAAAAATTATAATGTCCTTGTTTTTAATGCCACGAGCATGATTTTTGGAACATAAAGTTTTTTAAATACTCTTAAGTTGAGAAAAAAAATTCATAAAAATCGGAGTACTATATCATAGAGCTGCCATAGGAAAGATCGAAAAATCTATATAGAAATGACGGGAATATAAATATAACCTCGTTGTTTTTCATCAGACAATAATGATTTTTGGAATATAGAGTTTTCTAATGAGTCTTGAGTTACAAGTTAAATTTCATTAAAATCGGACGACTATATCATATAGCTGTCATATGAACAATATAGAAAATTAATAGAAAAATCGTCATAGCTTCGATGCTCTTTAGCTTTTATGTATTTGTTCGACATATTTAGTAACTGCAAGGGTATATAAGCTTCGGCTTGCCGAAGCTAGCTTCCTTTCTTGTTAGCATTGTGCTATGTGTTTTAATTTTTGTTCCCACAAAAAGGATTATTTTTTTTTTGTAAATTAAAATAAAATGGAAATCTTGTTTTCTTGTATCTTTATAGTTAAATCTCCCAGTGTAGCCATGAAAATATCCGCAATAGGAAGAGGACAGGGATAAGCAGCGCGGTTGTTGATTTCGCTCATTTCCGACTCAAATGGATTTTGATTGTCTGCCTTGGCCTCGGAGTTGGACTTGTACTTGTACTTGGACTTGGTCTTGGTCCTGGGTGCCCCTGATGCCCTCTACGTGTCTGCCATTTGTCTGCGCTCATTTCGGCCAGCTCATCCCGAGCTTCAGTGCTTCAATGCTTCAGAGCTTCGGAGCTTCGGAGGCTTCGGAGGAGC